AAGGTCTCTGGCAATACTGTGTGATGCCATTCAGGCTTAGCATTGCTCCAGCAACATTTGAGAGGCTGATGGAATGAGTACTGAAAGGCCTACAATGGAGGATAGCCCTAGTGTACCTGGATGATGTCATTGCGTTTGCAACAACGTTTGATAAGTAAATGTCCCGGCTAGAGCAAGTATTCAAGCATTTGAAAGCAGCAAACCTCAAACTCCATCCCAAGAAATCCCACTTATTCCAGAAAGAGGTGCTTTACTTAGGTCACATTGTAAGTGAGCATGTAAAAGCTGACAATCTAACCAATATGCATGCTAACAATGGTCCCAACCCATCATCTATGGACGTGTTGATCCTGAGAGTCTTCAAACAAAGTTTAGAGGAATAATAAATAACTCTGCACTGTATATAGGGTGAGACAAATCCTAGAAAGTTATGATCTATTCAGGTTAGCTACAGACTCTGCTCTAAAACCCCAAATTTCCAGGAGCAGATGTATTCTTTGAGAGTCGGAATATGCTTCCATTTGGCAGTGGTAAGATAAATCATGTAGTTCAGACAACAGTGGTAGACAAGGCATAGCTGTCCCTTCACGTAACTGAGCAATAAACCTCCTTGTATGAACCACAATATCAGTGGAGGGAGGGAGAAGTAAGTATTTGTTCTCAGACCTTTCATCCATCAAGGAAGGTGCAGATTCAAAAGAAACTGGGGAAAGACTCAAAACAAAATACACTTGATGGACCAACTGAAGAAAAGGAGCCCGAAGTAGCTGATCCCAATGTGGCCTCCTAAAAAGCCAACAGAATAAAGGAAGGCACAGGAAAAAGTGAATCTAAATTATCTCCAGAATGTCCAGGATAGCCCTCAATTGCAGCCTCAGTTTTCCCTGGAGAAACACCACTGAATCGAATATATTTCTCCATCTCACTATGAATAAATTACTGACAGTCTCAACTGAGAGTGACTCTCCCCCACCCCTATTGTTGAACTATGCTAGATACCAGAGGTGGTATAGGAGAGACTTGATCTGCCTCCATGCTGGAAATAATAATCCATGGATTCCTGCCACATATCAGCTTGCCAGCGAGAATGTTTTTTTTTTTATGAAAATCAACTAGGTAACACGAACAATGCTCTTCAATAATCGTAGTACAGAAAACCATGTTAGTGAACACTTTGTCTAGAAAAAGTGCTAATATTATCCGAATGAGGTGCTTACATACAGTATCAGAATAGAGGGTGCATTGACATAGGTGGAGAGTGTCATGTGACAGATATCACCAAGGGTAATTAAGTGGGGAATAAAAGTCTGAGGCAAGCAAGAAAAATTCAGACTAATGCTTAGATGGGCAAAGGAAGTAAACCCTGGCAGTCGAGTAATAGCTGTAATATGAGAGGAGATAAGTATGTTTTGAAATGAACAATCACAAAGAGATGGGATGATCTGGGCTGACCAGCAGTAGCTGAAACAGACTGGGCCAACCAGCAAGACCATGTTTCAAAACACAACATCTGCTGGCCACCAGCTAGTGCTAGCTTCTGCTGGATTTTCCAGTAGATAATTTGATGTTTCAATACTCAAGAATTTAATATTCCTGTAACTTCTAGATGACACTATTAGTAATTTATTTGCTACTTCAATGTACTCAAGTTCTATTGCCAACTGCAGAGCTCCCTTTAAGAGTATACATATACTTTACTTAAGCTTAATTCTTATATTCTTGCCTCTTATAATGTCTATAAATTGGTCATTTGCCAATGAATCCATCATTTCATGAGGATCATCTAGATAAGATAATTGGTCAAGCCTTTCCAAATCTTCTTAAAATTTTGTTCTCTTCTTTCCTCAATACCCTATTCTAGAACTTTACTCTGGATACCTCTTACCTGTTGGGTAAGGCAGCTATCAATGTTTGATAGTTATGACATTCAGCTGGAAGGTTACTTAATGTTGTCAAATCTGTCCTTTTATATAGGCAGCAAGATTAATAGCTTGTTGTTCACCCTGGAAATGATCTGGAATTAAGCCTGGCATGCCTACATGATACCTTCCCATCATTCTGTTGGCTTCTCTATTGACCAATGTTGAACTGGTGAAATAAATTCTGGAACTGGATTTAGTAATGTTATAGTTGGAATAGTCCAGGAAATCCTTCAGTTAGGAGAGGCACAGCAGTAGTGGAAATATGTATAGACCAAATAAGTTCTATTCCATATATTTGGTGTTTTTGGTTGTGTTACATCTCCATTCGTTAGTTGATTTTCCGTAACTTCGTTCCCATGAAACTTTAGCAACACAAGTCCTTTCTTAATAAAACTGGTTTATTCTTTCTGAATATAGCTTTGCCGATACACTTCTTTTCAACAGTCGCTCTATAACAATGACGTTAACTTCAACAATACTTTCTGACTGCAGTTCAATTACTCACTACCTACACACACATTGATGCCATCACGTTGTGACCATCTTATATATACCAGACTACCCTATATCTAGTAATCTCCCAACAATTCACGAAGGTTCGAGAGAAGTGGCCTGACACTAGTCACATGACCTCATTGACGCAACAGTTGAAACTCTTTAGCCAAAGCAGAAAACAGAAAAAAGTGTGTCTGGTTTAATCTTTGCATTTAATAATTCATTTTACAGATGTTTTATTCTGTCACTAACATTCTTTTTTACCTCTCTGATGTCTTTCTTTACTTCACTTTTGGTTTTGTTAATTCTGTCATTACAGCCTTGCTTTACATCTTCAATCTCATTGTTGTAATCTCTCTGTACATCTACAAGAGTTTCATCAATTATCTTCAGTCAAATTTATTTTTGATTTTAATTCTTCTTTAAATAGTGAGTTTCTTTAATTTCTTCCTTAAGTTACTGTTTCTTTCTCATTAAGTCGTATTTTAATTTCCTGTCATAATTTTCTTCCCTTCTAATTTTCTTGGTCTTCTTTTAATTTTCTACCTCTTTCCTCTAAATGGTGTCTTAATGATTTCATCATTTCAAGTAACACTTCACTCTCAATCCTTGATCTCAAACATATTGAAAGTTCTATTTCATTTTCCCCAAATATAATCTCACTTCTAACATTAGTGTTGAAATGTTGTTCTTTTGAGTTATAAAGTGAAAGTAATTCAACATCCAGTTGGATGCAACAAAAAATTAATTTTATTTCCTCTTTAACATTTCTTTACAGGCTTGTACATTTTGTAAGTTATTTTATGCCTACATTTACAGTCAAGTTACCTGCACTAGACTAATGTAAAAATCAACTAACTTGTACAAAGTAACTTACTATGTGTGATAGCTAACATAGATCCAAAAACATAATAAACACACTAACTGATTCACTTTACCACTTAGAAAATAACTCTCTGTCATGTTTCACTGCAAGCTTACTTAGCTAATTGATTGACTTACCCACATATATAATATAATCCCTGTTCTAGATGTTTTGTAAAACCTCTCAATCAATAATATTCTTGAATATTCTAGGACTAATATGATCTTAATATAATGTGCCTATAGCTAAGATCTAAATTCAAACATTGAAAATATAACTTATAACAGTATAAGAAAGATTGTAAAACAAAATTTGAAACTTCAGTTAACCGAATTAGCATAACTATATTCTAAAGTATGCAAAATAAAGTTCAGGAGATAAAGTAAATGCAGAGCTATTAGATGACAACAAAATTTTTTACATAAGTAAGTTCAGAAAGTTAAAACTGGAATGAACACTAAATTTATACACTTTGCTAGCTGTCTATATGAAGCTTATAAAAGTGTCTACATATTGGCTAATGCATTTCATACATAATATTCTTATAATCACAACCATCAGAACAAAAATGTTTGGAAAAACCACAGATACATAAGATACTGTTACGACAGTGGAAGTCATGTGACGCTGGGAGCATGCATGCTGGAGTTTCTCAAAGGATCATGAATTTGATCAGCAACTCTAATTTCATCGAGGTGCCCTCTTTTTTAATATATAAGCCTGGCGAGAAAAACCAGCGTGAATGAAAAGATAAATAATTGAGTCAAGCAAACAGTAGGCACCGTACATAAAGTGTGTGAATCGCTGTGATTTATAGCGGGTGTTATAAAGGTTGTTAAAGTCTAATGTGACTGTGGAAATTCTATGTATTACTAAAATTTGTATCGAGAAAGAATAAACTAGTTTTAATCAAGAAAGGACTTGTATCACTGAAGTTTCTCTGAAAGAATTTCTACGGGAAATTAACAAGCAAGCAGGTATATAACAATACAATAAACTTCCACAATCTTGATTTTGCATATATTTATACATACATAACATCAACATATTACAAAACTTACTGATATTGTGAAATGAATATTTTTAATGCTTTAAACTTATATGAAAACATAATTAGACAATTTTAATTATTAAGTTTTTGCATTCTCAATAACTGTCACCAAATTAAAAAGCTTTAATTGTCCAATTTTTCTAACTGCTAATGGTGCATGTATATATACTGAAATAATATTCAAAGATATATATACATTTTTTTCTTTTCTTGAGCCACAAAGGAGGTAAAGTCATTCATCAATTTATAA